TGGGCGAATTGGCCCCATCCCTTGGCGTCGTTTTGTCTCCCGAGGTTGGTGCCACGTGAAGCCCATCGGTTTGGGTTGTTAGATCGGTCGATCCGCAGCCATTGGATAAATTGAATATGGGTCGTACATTTTCCTTTAAATAGGAAGGTTGGTTGAGCGAGACTTCACCATTTGCTCGAAACCTTTAGTCTTGGAGCTATTGAGGACACCTCGACTTTCCACAACCAATTCCTGAGATTTCCTTTCACTAACATCTTTAGGTAAAGAACCTCTGTCTTCGACATGTCGGCCTCAAATTGTGGTTGTGAAGCATACAACCTTCTTGACTGGAGTACTCCCAATATCACTCCTAGTAGCGATGGGAGTGACAACAGTGACTTCAAGAGCTCCTCTTGGACGTCTAACGTCCAGGTGTTCAGGGAGAGGGTCATGTCTCACAGGGCCGAGCATGACCAGTAGAGTGCGGAATCTACCAATGAGAGTATTGGTTCCACGCGGCCGAGGGCCGGCGCCATAGGAACTGTTCTTGCACTTCCTGAAATGGTGGATGTGGAAGAGGCTGAGGAACCCATGGCCAAGGAGTGGGCCAAGGCTAAGCACCGAGGTGTAACACTAGGCGTTATCCCCGCTTTGACCTAGACAACATTCTCGGCAATGAGCAAGTTAGGGCTTTGGCCAAGAAGTACTACATTCTGGGGGACAATAGCATTAGAGTCCCCTTGGTGATAGCTCATGGCTCGCTCCTAAAGGGGAGGTGTGCGTCCATGAGCATTACCTTCACTTTGGATTGTGGTTTCCCCTGCACCCCCTAATTTTTGAGATTTTGAACCAATATAAGCTCACCCTTAGCTAGTTCGCTCCCATTGACATTAGGACTATAGTGGTTGTGTTGGTGATGGCCCATCTCTGAGATGTGTCTATAACTCTTAAACATATTTCAGAGTTTGTTCGCATTGAAGAAGAATCCCGATGGGGAAGGCTTGTAGTATTTCCAAGGTTGATGGGGAAAGGTAGTGGACAACCCGTCGTCTATCCATAATTGGAAGAAGAAATACTAGCCAGATACACTGGTCCTTTCGGTTGCCCCTAAGGCTGGTCCTTTCGGTCCTTTCGGTCCGGTTGGGGGAACCCAGATACGCTAGCCAAGACGATCGCACCACGCAGTAGCAAAGAGGAGAAAGTCGTGACGAATCAGCTTTGGCTAGGCGAGACGATTCATTTTGGACCCTTGGTGATGGCCCAGCCTTAGTCCTGCCCCCCTTAGTATGGACACTCCTGCTGTTTGCCAGTTATGACATTACTTGAATCTCAATGCCACTTTTCTAACTTATTTGTTTCTCTTGTTGGCAAAAATGTATAACATGAAATCCATGCTACAGGTGGAGGCAGCTATGAAGTCCCGAAAGGGCCTGGCTGAGGGGACGCCGTGGAGGTAGAATGAGGAGAACTCACCATGGCCGAGGGGTGGCGCTAAGTCTAGAAGGATGAAAGCGGTCACGCAAAACTGGCCATACGAAGGTGTCTATGATCAGCAGACTTTGAAGAAGGTCTTGCTGAAGGATAGTCAGGCTGAGGGTGTTTCTGGAGGATCACAGCCAGCGGCTCCTCATTCTTTGGACCCTTTAGAGGACGAGCCGTTGTCGCATCATCAAATCCACCCAGTTTGGAATGTTAGGGAGGGGGACAACTTGGGCTATGTAGGCGTCAGCCGTCAGTTGGTGGTTGACATGATTCCCTCAAGGGATTGCCAGTCTTGGACACAACATTCCGCCTAGGCTGTCCGGGACACACTACTGGACAAGATAGCCGAGGTAGGAAGAGATCTTGTTTCCTCGGTGGTGCTACTTTCTCCCTTGGTTAAAATTTTCCACCTAATGCGAAGTTATTCTTCCTTTGTAGGTGGCTTCTTGTGGAGTGGGCCTCTGTGACAATGTGGAGGTCTTCATACAATAGTTGTGCCAATCGCAAGAAGAGATCGGGTGCCTGAGGCATCAGCTAACCGAGGTGTAGGCCGACCAAGAGGTTGTTGATGGGAAGGCTCATGAGGAGTACGAGCGTCGGAAGAAACTTGAGGCTGACATGGCAGCGAAGAAGGATCAGTTGAGGTCTGCGAAGTCCATGCTAGAGTCCATGGAGCAAAGGCTTCAGTTAGCATCTTCTTGGGCCGTGGAGGATTATAAGGCCTTAGAGGAGCACAAGAAAGACTTAGCCAACTTCGCCTCTATAGTCTACTTGGAGGAGTATGCGGACTACAAAGTCCATGTATCAAAGTTTTCCCCGAACTTTGATATTAATCAGTTAGATCCCTTTGCCGAGAACTAACAAGAGGTCGATGTGGTTGACACAACCGAGGCTCAAGGTGACACTCACCAGATTATCAGGCAAGATGCAATGGCCAAAGAGAATGTTGAGGCCGAGGTTCAAACTAGAGATGCCCAGTGAAAATATTTGTTTAGGGCAGAGGTGCCTTTTTTCAATGGTTATTCCATGTACTTTTTTCTGTAAGGGGCCGACGCCTCCCCCATAAGAGGCCCTTTTTAGTAAAGACACTTGAGTTAATGGAACATGAGTTTTTTGTCAAAAGATGTTCTTCTTCTCTTTCTTCTTTCATGCAAGGGGCCAATGCCTCCCCTCGAAGAGGCATTTTTGTAAAGAAACTTGCTATTCTGTAATAAAGTATCTCTTTTTTGTGAAAGTATTCTTTACCTAGTCTTTCATGAAGACGTTCCGTATTAGTCTTTTAGGTTGAGGCCGATGTCATAAGTCACTCGATAACAATTGTCGAGGTCTCAAAACTTTTTGCCTTGGTGAAAAATTCCCTTTGCTTAGTACGTCATTCCTTGGGGGTTTTGTGGCCGAGGTCGCGAGCAATTGCCCTAGTGGAGAAGTGTTGTTTACTTAGGTGTGTCTTTCATCAAGTATTTTATTAAGTAATTCGCTAACGTCGGCTGTTTGACCTTTACAAAGACTCGCTTTTTTAAGGGTATTTGAATTTAAGGCCACCATCATGGGCCACTTATCAATAGTTGCCAAGGTCCCGAAAGCTCTTGCATTAGTCAAAGAAGGTCAAAAGGCAACTAGGCGTGTAACTCACAAAGTGTCGTATGCCTTGGGATGATGCTTAGTCTGAGAGTATAACCTTAAGGAAGGTCGTATGCTATGGTTGGTCAGCCGCGTGGTCCCGATGGTTGGAAGAGACGAAAATGTTTACACAAAAAAAGATTCAAAGTGAGAGGAACTTGCACTTTTCATTTACAATTTTCCACTAAGGTATTTACAATGCTATTGATAGTACATTCAGAGATTCTCGAAGTTCCATGTATGAGGCACTGGATTTCCACCCATATATTCTAGTCGAAAGGTGCCAAGCCATACTACTTGCTTGATTTTGTAGGGCACTTCCCAGTTTGGGCCAAGCTTTCCGATATTGGACTTAGGAGCCATGACCTTTCTAAGGATGAGATTGCCTTCCTTGAAGTGATGCTCTTTAATTCGGGAGTTGTAATATCCTGCAATTTTTTGCTGGTAGTTCGCAACCCTAAGTTGGATTTGCATGCAGAGTTGTTTGGCGAGCACGTTTCACAGGTCGCCACCTGGACCTCAATCAGGTCGGCAAGCCCTTGAGGGAGGTCACTCCTCACATTGAGGTCACTTCGACCGGTATTGACGAGGTACCTTAGGTTGGACTTGGACGAGGTGCTGCTAGCCATGCACATTAGGGTGCCTGATTTATAGATGATGTCGCTAGGTCGGCGGTCAAGGCAGGTCACCAGATCGACAGTAAAGGCAGGTCGCCAGGTCGGCGGCAGAGGCAGGTAGTTTGCCAGGTAGGACTCCATCATTTTGGCTAAGGCAAGTCATCACCTAGGTGATGTCGGGGTGTCATCCAGCTGTTTTGAGATGCCATGCATCATGATGTCAGTGGAGGGCCAAATCTGCCCTCATCACTCTCTGACGCATTTTAACAGGTCAAGGTTATTCTTTAACTCTTCACTGTTCTCAACTTCCTATTATGCCTCAATTCAAAGTGTTGGCTGGCCGATCTTTGCTGGGATGACAACCTCTGTTCCATATATCAAGTTGAAGGGAGTTTCACCCGTGGTAGTCCGAGGTGTCGTTCGATATGCCTATAGAATGTTGTACAACTTGTCCACCCAAAGCCCTTTTGGCTTTATCTAACCTTGCTTTCAACCCGTCTAGAATTGCCCTATTGGTGACCTCATCTATCCTATTAGTTTGAGGGTAACCGACTGAGGTGTACTGCTGCCTTATTCCTAGGCTTCTACACCATTCCCTAAACTTGGAGTCGTCGAACTGTCGGTCGTTGTTGGTGATGAGCATGTATGGGATGCCAAATTGGCAAATAATGTTCTTCTAGAAGAAGTTCTAAATCGTCTTAGCCATAATGGTTGCCAAGGCCTTGGCTTTGACCTATTTGGTAAAGTAGTCTACAACCATGATGAGGTGTCCCCTGTTCCCCTTGGTCGGTGGGAAAGGCCCAAGGAGGTCCATTCCCCATTTAGCAAAGGGACAAGGATTGCTGAGGGTCGAGAGGGTCATCACAGGCCAATGGAGGATGTTGGAGTGCCTTTGGCATCAGTCGCACTTTTGTACCAACTCAAAAATGTCCTTTTGGATGGTCACCTAGAAATATCCATGTTTGGATGCTTTTTGTGATAGGGCTTTGCTCTTTAGATGATTGTTGTAGATGCCTTCATGGATTTCTCTTAGCAAGGTGAAGGATCTTCTGTACAACTCGTCTTTAAGATAGGGCAAGGTGAAGGATCTTCTGTACAACTCGTCTTTAAGTATGACGTATCGTGCTGACTGCCGCCGGACTCTCCTTGCCTCATTCTTTTCAAATGGCAACTGCTCATGTTGCAAGTATGCAAGAATGGGATCCATCCAACAAGGTTCAGCCGATGGGATACACTTGCCTCTCTTTGATGCTGGGATGTGTTAACTTTTCGATGTGCATAGTGCAACCGAGGGCCGATCCCAAATAGCTTGCAAGTTTTGACAGGGCGTTGGCTCGAGCATTTTAGGCCCGTGGGACTTGGTGCATAGCAAAGTGTTGAAAGTGACTAGTTAACTCTTGAACTTCACCAAGTATTTGGCCATATTTGGCTCCTTGGCCTCATACTCTCCATTCACCTAGTTCACCCCCAACTGTGAGTCGTTGAAGACCTAAATGTGCTTGGCTCCGAGGTCTTTTGTAAGTTGGAGGCCAATGAGCAAGGCCTCATACTCTGCTTCGTCGTTGCAGGCAAGGAAATTGAACCGCAATGCATACTCCAACTCATTAGCGTTTGGGGTGAGAAGTATGAAGCCGGCTCCACTTCCACTGGAATTGGAGGATCAACCTATGAACAAGGTCCAGGTTGGCCGAGTCTCCTCCTCATTCTCAAGGGCTTGGTTGTGGCCATGGCTAAAGGTGCATTCAACCAAGAAGTCTACCAATACTTGCACCTTTATTCCAGGCCTCGACTAATTCTTTAAGTCAAACTTCGATAGCTCGATGGCCCACTTGGTTAGTCGACCCGAGTTGTTAGGCTTCGAGAGCACTGACTTGAGGGATTGGTTGGCCAACACCGAGATGTTGTGAGCCTGAAAATAAGGCCTTAGCTTCTTGGTTGAGGCCACCAATGTAAAGGCTATTTTCTCTACTTCTGGGTATTTGGTTTCGACCTCATGGAGGGCCTTGCTAACATAATATACTAGTATCTAAATTCCCTTATCTTCCCGAACCAACACCGAGCTGACTACCTCATCCCCAGGCGAGAGATACAAGAATAAGGTTTCTCTTGAGATGGGTCGCGTGAGCAATGATGGTGACGTGAGGTAGGACTTTAGCTCTTCGAAGGATTTCTAGAAATCTTTTATCCATTGGAAGTCCTTCAATTTCTTGATGGCCCAGAAGAAGTGTATAAACCAATCGACCGACTTGGACATGAATCGGCTAAGGGCTGCGACCTGGCCGGTGAGCCTCTAGGTTTCTTTAATTGATAGAGGGGGCTCCATGTCCAATATGGCTTATATCTTTTCAGGGTTGGCATCTATGCCTCATTGGGTAACTACAAAACCCAGGAATTTTCCCGATGTGACCTCGAAAGCACATTTAGTAGGGTTTAGCTTCATGTTGTATTTCCTCAGTACCCTAAATGTCTCTCCAAGGTTTGAGGTGTACCAGTTTGCCCTAAGACTCTTCACAACCATGTCTTCGACGTAGGCCTTGATGTTCCTCCCCATATGCTCTTTCAAAATCTTGTTCACTAGTCTTTGGTAAGTGGCCCCAGCATTCTTCAGTCCAAAAAGCATCACCTTGTAGCAGTAGGTGTTGTGCTCGGTGATGAATGATGTATTCTCCTTGTCATTATGGTGCATTTTTATTTGGTTATAGCCAGAGAAGGTGTCCATGAAGCGTAGTAGCTGATATTCCATGGTGGCATCGATGAGATGATTAATCTTCGACAAAGGAAAGTTGTCTTTAGGATAGGCCTCGTTGAGATTAGTGAAGTCAATGCATATGCACCATTTCTCATTAGCTTTCTTAATCATGACCACATTAGATAGCCACTTAGAGTAGTGTACTTCTCTTATGAAGCCAGCGTTGAGTAGCTTGTCCACCTCCTCTCAAATGATTTTTCAGTGCTCTGATGCAAAGTTCCTCTTCTTTTGCTGAACCGGCCTATATCTTGGGTCCACGCTCATCTTGTGAATAATGACCAAGGGGTCAATTCTTGGCATATTAGTGGTGGACCAAGTAAACACATCGGTATTAGCTTTGAGGAAGCTTACTAGCTCGAAAAGGGTGTCCTATGGGAGGCGACCCGACTTATATCATTTTCTCAAGCTCGTCCTTGTCTAGTGGAATAGAGATGAGGTCCTCGGTTGGTTGGCCTTGGCCTGATGGTTCGTCCCTAAGATCGAACCCCAATAGTAGTAGGGCTTCCTTGTTCTTGCCTTTCAGCGCCACAACGTAGCATTGTCTAGCGGCTTGCTGGTTTCCCCTAACTACCCCTACACCATGATCTATGGGGAACATCATGTTTAGGCGTTAAGATGAGATGACTACCTTGAGTGCGTAAAGGTTCGGCCTCCCTATGATGACTTTGTAAGGTGAGCCTATCTTCATGACCAAGAACTCAGTCATTTGAGTGGCGTACCGAGGTTTGGTCCCTATAGTGATCGGTAGGGTTATCTATAAGTTGCTCCAGAAAACCCGATGAGAGGCATGTCAATGGATTGTAGTCGGTCTGGTGTCAGCTGCATCTTCTCAAATGTTTCATAAAATAGGATATCTTCCGAAGAGCCATTGTTTATGAGGATCCTTTTCACCATGTAGTTGGCGATGATCATTGACACCACCAATGTATCATCGTGGGGTATAGAAATCCCCTATAGGTCGTCATCCGAGAAGGAGATGAGATCCTCTGGCCTCAGCCTCTTTAGTGTTGGGCTCTGTCTGAATGTTACATTGCTTGTCATATGCCTTTCAAAATGAGGCAGATGCTCCCCTTGAGGGCAATGGGTATGGGGCCCAGCCTGTGGCTGTTGCAAGGATGACACTAGGGCATCACCTTCAACATAATTTTTTAAGTGCCTGTAGCAGATGAGGGACTTGATCTCATTCTTAAGCTCGTAACAGTCCTTGGTGTCGTGGTCGGTGCCGCAGTGGTACTTGTAGTACTTCTTGGGGTTCCCCTTTTTTGAGTTCCTCTTCAACTTGGCTAGCCACTTCATGAATTTCTCCTTCCCTACTTGCATCAATATGTGCGTTCAGGAAGAGTTAAATGGTGTGTACTTGCTGAAGGAAGGGGCCGACGACTTCTTCTCACCGCCCTTATTGGTGTGGTCATCGTCATGGCCATCCCTTTCCTTCCTCTTCTTGTCACTAGGCCCTGCTTTCGGATCTTTGAGGTGTTTGTTGGCTTCGGCCTCCTCGGTGGCAATGTACTTCTGGACCTTCTTCAAGAACTCAGCTTAGGCTTGGGTGGAATCTTGTAAATGGACCAACTGAGGGGTCTAGGTCAGAGGCCACTAATGGCCACGTACATGGATATCGAGGGGTTGAAGTCCTTGACCTCAAGTTCTTCTTGGTTGAATCTCTTCATAAACATTCAAAGGCTCTTCCTGCGCTTCTGCTTGACAGACATTAGGGAGATGACGATTTCTAACACCGTCGGCTACTCACAAAGTGACCTAGGAAGAGGTCCGTGAATTGTTCCCAAGAGTCGATAGAGTGTGGAGGTAGTGTCATGAACCATCGGTGTGCTGCCCCTTGAATGTGGCCTAGAAGGCTCGGCACATGAGAGCGTCAGAGTATCCATGTAGGAGCATGAGGGCCCAGAAGCTTTCCAGGTGGTCCTCAAGGTCTGTGCTCTCATCATAGGTCTGCCTTGAAATTCGATAGGAGAGGCTTGGAGCTGATAGAATCCACGAAGGCCTCCATTCGGCTAAATGAGGCATGGCAACTAGTGAAGGCGTCACCTTGACCCTCCTTCACTTGTCAAAGTTGATCCTGAATGGTGCCAATTTGTGCCTGAATATCTTTGAGGCACTAGTCGATGTATGGCATCATTGTCTGGTTTAGCCTAGGTTCTCTCTTACACAGGAAGGGCCGACCCTATTCTTGGAGTGATCGAACGTCGGAACGTCCTAAGCCTTATGGGCACGATGATCATTAAGGAGGTTGAAAACAAGCAGTGGAGAGGCATGGCGCCGACCTCCTGCCCCTAGGAGGACTATAGTGGCCTGAGCACCCGCCATCGTCTTGGTTGGTCGCTGCACAATGGTGCTGACGGTCGTGGTTCTTGTGCTCGGCGTGGGACCCCACGGGGTTGACCCCTCGATTGGGGAGCTGAGAGGTCATGGAACGGGGCTTGCTAGTCTGTCGGGTGTTGATGTTGGAATCCAAGGGGTCGGCCCCCTCTAGGCCACCCAAGCGCTGGCTTAGTGGGGTATGGGCAAATTGCTCGTTGTGCTATCCATGGCTTCTGATGGGGCGGCCACCCTATGGGTGGCCTTCTACTGAATGCCCTATATTGTCCAACCACTGTGCCAAGTTGTCCAGCCTATTCAGGACCAGCTCAAACTAGCTGATTGTGATTAAGTTCTGAACATTAGGAATGGTGTTGCTTGTCAACCATTTCAGAGACCCTAGTTGATTAGTTCAAATTTATTTTTCTTAGGGGAAATTTTTGAAGACGATTCCCACAAACGACACTAATTGTTGCTGCCAAATACGGAGTCGAGGGCAACAACATAATTTCTGGTGTCTAAGGCCGATGGGTCCAACCTATTGAGAGAAAGAAGATGTCAGAGGCCTTGGGAGTTGCCCAGGGGCGAAGATTCCAACAGTCAAGTTAGTTGAAAGCTATAAGGGGTCGGACCAAGCAAGAGAGGAAACTTAGAGCTTAAGCCTATGTGTCTTTACCTTAATGTGTGAGCCCCTTTTATAGCCAGAGTTGCTTTAGAAGATGGGCAGTTGGGAGCAGGTGTGACAGTTAGCAATGGTTGATGATGGATGGCCAGGATGCATCCGACCGATGCCACGTATCACTATCCATAGGTCAACCAGATATCCCTACCCACTCTCCACCCTTCAATGAGAGCCCATGCCACTTTACTTACTTTCTTGGATTTGGTTTGTTTTCTGATTTCATTCATAACCATAACCATTTCAATCTTGGCTGTCATGAGAGTCTAGAAAGATATCTCCATTCCTTGTAGTCTTTCTAGCTTCTCCAACAATAACTTCTCATCCTGATGACCAATGTAAAAAACCACTTTGATCCTTAAAACCTTTGCAATCTTCTCTGTCATGTCATCTCCTTCAATCTTTTTCGGCTTAACCACCTCTGTTGGTTGATAGTAACTACCATCCTTGGTAATAATAGCTTCTCTAACAATAACTTCAAATTGCATGCTATCAGACCCAATAAACCTATCGTTGCTGCCATCTTCATTCCATATGAGAAGAGTATCTTGATAATTCTCTCTTTGTTCCTCTTGAATTTATCAGGATGATCCAAAGAGGAAACCGTGATTACCCTCTCAATAACAATAGATATATCCATGTTTGCACCTCGAAAGAAATTCCTCCAATATTCGAGCAAGCTAGATTTTGACACAACCATGACTGAATACATGTCTGATTCCGATTGGAAAGAAATTCCTCTAATATTCGAGCAAGCTAAATTCTGACACAACCATAATTGTATACATATCTAATTCCAATTGGATCAGGTTGTGCAAGGTCTCAATAGTCAATCCTTACCCAATCAAATCAACCTTTCACCAAATACCGAAAAAAAACCTAACCCAACCAAATGTTAAGTTGGGATCATGCTTCTCAACCCTGACTTTAACCCAAACTTTTAATCCAGCAACCCAGCTCAATTTATACCCGTATTCATGGTTCAAAGTAGAGTATACTCTGGATACACAAAATTTGTGCATCTAAAATGTATTTTTTAGGGTAAATTTCTTAAACTACCCTTATGGTTTAGCTAATTGACTAAGCATACCCTTACTGTTTGAAAATTGATTGGTGCTACCCCTATTGTTTCTGACAATTGTCTAAACATTACCAAGGTCGTTAAACATAAACGAAAAATGTAAAATGACCATTTTACCCTTAAACTCAAACACTCAACCAATCTATTCCTCATTTTAACTCAACTCAAACATTGTAGTGAACATTCGACCTCTCTCTCTCTCCTTCCAAACCCTGATGAGAGCCACCGAATGTTTGTTTGAACCTGAGTGGAGAATGAACACCATTGGCTGCATGGGTTACCGCTGCAACTCCCGGTGATGCGATGGTGTTTTTGTCCATTGCTTTAATAGCTTCATTGACTGAGTGGAGAACTCAGTCTGAACCTGAGTGGAGAACGAACACCATCGGCTATGTGGGTTACCATTGCAACTCCCAACGGTGCGATGCCATTTTTGTCCATCGCATTAATAACTTCATTGACTGAGTGGAGAACTCAATCAGAACCGTGGAGAATCAGTCTGAACCTGAGTGGAGAACGAACACCATTGGCTGTGTGGGTTACCGCTGCAACTCCTGGTGGTGTGTCAGTGTTTTTGTCCATCACTTTAATAGCTTCATTAATTGAGTGGAGAACTTAGTCTGAACCGTAGAGAATCAATCTAAACCTGAGTGGAGAATGAACACCATTGGCTATGTGGGTTACCGCAAACCGAATTCCTCTTCTGGTTTTGCTTCCACCAAAAATCTCTGATAACTCTTACATGGGAATCTACGATATCAGCGAGTTTGAGTAATTTACCAGTCGGTGATCAAGGATTTGGAGAATGCGATGATGGGGATTCATTTCAGTTGCTTCTTGTTTCCACTCCCTCTGGTGGTCATCGTTTCTTCATCTCGTATTGGTGCTTTATAGTTTGAGCAGAGTTTGAAAATGGTGTGGAGCGGTGGATAGTTTGGTTTCTATTTATTGGTTTTGATCTATGTGTATTCTATATACATGAGGGGAGAATTGAAACACTAAGGAGAAGTACCAAATCCGCCGCTGCAACTTGCAACA